AAGGCAATATATGTAACTTAAACATTTGTATCCCCATAATATGCTGAAATAAGAAAAGAATAAAAAATTTAAAAGTTGGGTTAGAAATTATACACAAACACATTATTTAAAAGATTGTATGTTTATTTTTTTTTTATTCTTTTTTGAGACAAAGTCTTGCTTTGTTGCCCAGGCTAGAGTGAGTGCTGTGGCATCAGCCTAGCTCATAGCAACCTCAAACTCCTGGCTCAAGCAATCCTTCTGCCTCAGCCTCCCGAGTAGCTGGCACTACAGGCATGCGCCACCATGCCCGGCTAATTTTTTCTATATATGTTAGTTGGCCAATTAATTTCTTTCTATTTAGAGTAGAGATGGGGTCTCGCTTTTGCTCAGGCTGGTTTTGAACTCCTAACCTAGAGCAATCCGCCCGCCTTGGCCTTCCAGAGTGCTAGGATTACAGGCGTGAGCCACCACGCCCGGCCTAAAAGATTGTATGTTTATACAACATGTCTAGAATGTTAACAGTATTGTATCTGTTATATATGATATAGGAGTGAGCCACCTCGCCCATCCTGTGGGTGGTTTTCATTTTCATTTTGCTTCTGATTTTTCTTTTTTTGATATAGTATCTAGTAAGAAAAATAAGCCTAAACTTTTGTTTTAAAATAAGTCTAGAAAATATATTCTTATATATTTTAGATAGCAACGTAAAATATAGGATCCTTTTCGAAGGCATTTGACAGTGTGCCTATTCAGAGTCATAAAAATATTTATAATCATTGACCCAGTAATTCTATTTCTGGTCCTGTGTTCTAGAGAAAAATACCCAAAACATTGAAAAGTTTACGAAATTGTTTACTTATAACATTATTTATAATGTGAAGAAATGAACATTTTATATCTTTGAAAATTGTGTCTCATCTAAGATTCCCAAGGCTAAGTAAAGAATCAGAAGTCAATATAAAATTTCTACTGTAGGGGAATTATTAGATATATTATGGGTCATCCACTACAGCCATTAGAATAATGGTTATAAAGACTAGTATTCACATGGGAAAACCTCATGATATGTTAATTAGTAAAATTAAATACAGAATTCTATGTATAGCAAAATTACAACTTATAAACATAGATTATGAAAACCTGGAAATTGGGATTATGAGTCATTTTTAAACTCTTATTTTCCAAACTTTTTATAGCATAATTATTAAAGTAAAATTAAAAGTTGAGGAAAAATACATGCATGTGACCTTAAAATCCTGCAGTGGCACCCTCCTTCCCCATTGCCTACAGAGTAAGATCTTTATTTCCACCTTTTATCCTATGTTCAGTGTCTACCAAAAACTTGTAGCTTACTCAAAATGCCATGCAATTTCCTATTTTTATGCTCTTATTCTTGCTATTCCTTCTGCCTCTAATCTCCCTTTCCATCTTTGCTTGTGACCAAGTGAACTTTTGTCCTTAAAAACTATGCCACCTTTCTCTCTTTTATTTTTTGAGACAGAGTCTCACTTTGTTGCCCAGGCTAGAGTGAGTGCCGTGGCATCAGCCTAGCTCACTCACAGCAACCTCAAACTCCTGGGCTCAAGCAATCCTTCTGCCTCAGCCCCTCTTGAGTAGCTGGGACTACAGGCATGCACCACCATGCCCGGCTAATTTTTTAATTAATTTTTCTATTTTTAGTAGAGATGGGGTTTCACTATTGCTCAGGTTGGTCTCGAACTCCTGAGCTCAAACGATCCGCCCACCTCGGCCTCCTAGAGTGCTAGGATTACAGGCCTGAGCCACTGCGCCCGGCCTGTTTTGTTTTTTAATAGTTGATTTTCTCTCTTTCATTTTCATAGCCACTTTTAAAAAATGTAATTATATTACCTTAAATTCACTTTTCTAGATTCCTTCTGCTAATTGCTGTTAAATTCTTATTATCTGCTCTCTAGTATTTCAAGTAACTAGTTCCTTCCTCTATGAGCCCAGCATATCACTTCCCTATTTTTGTGGTATTATTTATCAGCAAGTAACTGAAACCATAGAAAGGAAAGCTACAGATAAGAAGAGACTGCTGTAATTATTATTCTTTAAAGTTTTCTGCTAATCTAAGACTAACTTTTCTCATCCCCTTACTTCCCACCCTCTGATTCATTCAACAAATTGTTATGGAGCATCAGCTCTGTGTCAGGTTAGCAGTTCAGAATACAGTGGTGAAGTGTACCACATTGCTGAGCAAGACAAACTAGGAAACAAGTAGACGCAACAAAATGTAAGGAGTAATACATTCAGTAACACAGGAGAAATACAGAATGTTTTGAAACATATAGCAGAGACACAATAGGCTGGAGGCTCAGAGTATGTTTTTTGGAGAAAGTGAGGTTTAAATTCAAACAGGAAGGTTGGGAGTGGACGTTAGTTAGGCATGAGTGTGTGGAGGAGACTGTGGAGCTCAGTGTTATCGGCTCTTCCCCTTCTGTGTCTTCAGCTTCGTCCTGTGTGCCCTTTCTCTTTGCCTGTGTTCCTCCCCAACTCAGCATCCCCTGCTACTTGCTGCTTTCTCCCTCTCCTCTTCACAGTTCGGTTTACTGAAGGAGTTTCATTATCTTCATTTCCTCAACTGTTCACTCACTCACTGTCCAATTCCCTCCTCTGTGGGTTTACTCTCATCACTCCCCTGAGATCGTGCCCACTCATGTCACTTATAATGTAATTATCCAAATCATCGGATACTTTTCAGTTCCTGTCTTACTTGGCCTTTCTACAGCATTTGATGTTGTATCCTAAACTCTTTGCTTTCCTGGAGTTCTGTGATACTACTCTTTTGGTTTTCCTGTTTCCTTTTCGCTGTTCATCTCAGTCTCACTGGCTTCTCTTTGCCTGCCTGCTGTTTAAAGGTTAATATTTTTCTTGTTTTTTTTCTTACTGTTCATACCTTATGGGCAGCCTTGTCCATAAATATAGACTAAAACTTTCACTTATATATTAAAGACTCTAAATCTTTACCACTCAAATCTCTCTAATTTCTAATCCCATGTTTCTAGTTGTTCACTAGACATCTCCACTTAGATGACCTGTAGATAACTGCACACTCAGTGTATCCAAATAAGATGGTTTTCTAATCCCTCTTTTTTCCCCCCTAATCCTGAAGAATGATTTTCTCTACTGTCTTCAGACTAGAATCTGAGTATTGGTGTTAGCTACCTCTTCTTCATCAAACTCTTCCATCTTACATCTAATAAGTAACTAATTCCTATTTATTTTACTTCATTAGTATCTTTCAAAATAACATGATTTTTGTTCTGATGATAAAACTTCTCATTGTACAAATTCACAATATAGAGAAAAAACATAAAAACTAAAATAAAGTTCATCTGTAATATTATCATCCAAAGATAACTGCTATTAATATTTTGACATATATCACTATGCATATGTGTACATATAAATCTCTATATCTATATAATGTGTGTATGTATGTAGGTATATGTAGGTGTGTATATCTTTTTTCAAAATAAAAATGGAATCCTATTCAACATAGTAACTTTTTAAAAAAACATGGCAATAGATCATGTATACTTTTCCATAACTATAAATTAAATGAATGCCTCCTCTCCTTCCCCACAGCCTTACTTTGAGTCCTCATCATATGTCACCTGGTCTATGCAATTGCATTCTAATTGGTTTTTTCTACTATTCGTCTTTTCTTCCTCTAGATTATTATCCTATACAGATTCTCAGAATAATCATTCCAAAATGTAGATTTTGCCTGGGTGTGGTGGCTCATGCCTGTAATCCCAGTACTTTGGGTAGCTGAGGTGGGAGGAATGCTTGAGGCCAGGAGTTTGAGACCAACCTGGGCAACATAGAAAGATCCCATCTCTACAAAAAATTTTTAAAATGTTAACCAGGTGAGGTGGCGCTCGCCTGTAATCTTAGCTACTCAGGAGGCTTAGGTGGGACGATCCCTTGAGCTGCAGTGAGCTATGATTATACCACTGCATTCCAGCCTGGGCAACAGAATGAGAGCCTGTCTCTAAAATAAAATGCAGATTTTTAAAAAGGAATATAAATTGATCATTCACAAAAAGGAAACAAAGCTGCAAATAAATATATGTAGGGAAAGAGATTAAAAACATTCCCCAGCTAAATTAACATTTTTTAAATGACAGTAAAACTTTTCTAAAGGGTGATATATTTCAACACATTTTCAAAAAATGTGCATTTGGCCTGGTGTGGTGGCTCATGCCTGTAATCCTGACACTCTGGGAGGCCAAGGCGGGTGGATTGCTCGAGGTCAGGAGTTCGAGACCAGGCTAAGCATGAGCGAGATCCCGTCTTTACTAAAAATAGAAAGAAATTAGCTGGACAACTAAAAATATATAGAAAAAATTAGCTGGGCATGGTGGCGCATGCCTGTCGTCCCAGCTATTCTGGAGGCTGAGGCAGGAGGATTGCTTGAGCCTGGGAGTGTGAGGTTGCTGTAAGCTAGGATGACACCACAGCACTCTAGCCTGGGGAACAGAGTGAGACTGTGTCTCGGAAAAAAAAAAATGTGCACATTTGTTGACCATTTTATCCTAAGGAATATTTAAGGCTATACACAAAGATTCTGCTACAAGGGTATTTATTGTGGTGTTATTATTTACAAAACAGTGGAAATAACCTATGTGTATTTTTTGATCCTGGAAGATGATAGTATTATGTTAAGTGAATAGAAAATTGGGTTACTGGATCAAATTATAGTTCTACTTTTAGCGCTGAGGTATCTCCATATTACTTTCCACACAGGTTGTACTAGTTTGCAGTCCCACCAGCAGTGTATGAATATTCCTATCTCTCCACATCCACGCCAACATTTATTGTTTTGGAACTTTTTTTTTTTGAGACAGAGTCTCGCTTTCTTGCCTAGGCTAGAGTGAGTGCCATGGCATCAGCCTAGCTCACTCACAGCAACCTCAAACTCCTGGGCTCAAGCGATCCTTCTGCCTCAGCCTCCTGGGTAGCTGGGACTACAGGCATGTGCCACCATGCCCGGCTAATTTTTTCTATATATATTAGTTGGCCAATTAATTTCTTTCTATTTATAGTAGAGACAGGGTCTCGCTCTTGCTCAGGTTGGTTTCAAACTCCTGACCTTGAACAAGGTTAAGATCCCTTTATCCTTAGTACACCCTGAGATTCATTCATTCATCACACAAGCCGTCGAGTATTCATTAGGTGCCAGACACTACCTTGGCACTGGGTGGAGTATAGTAGGGAATATAAATCATTAAAAACAATTTTTAAAAAATTCCTTCCCTCAGCACTTTTTAACTCCTCTATCATTATATTAATCTGTGAGTTCGCAGAAAGCAAACCCATGGATTATTTGTCTGTCCTACATCAGGTCCTAGAACAATAACAAATGCAAAAGGCAAAAGGTACCTAGTAAAGATTTGATGAGTGGATGGTTGAATATACTTATAGTTCTTATGGTGACATTTTCTTAAAATGTCAGTGTAATAACAAATTTTGGGAGGGGGAAACAAGCTTAAAACAACTAGAAAATATTACTATGATACATTTTTTATCACATTAGATCCAAAATTCCTATTTTAGATTTTAGTCAACTACTGTATGCCTTCTCTGTGCTGTAAGTCAGCTCAGTGTAGGAATAGAGATAAGACACGGTCCCTTCTATCACGAAGTTTGCAGTGCCCCGATTCAGATACCAAAATTAGACTTTCTCATTAGGTACTATGGAAATAACACTGTGTAGGGGGAAAAGAGTTTTCTCAAGATTTTTATGTAGTGCAGCTTTTGTATTTCTTGCTGTCATTCCTTTATTTTTTGCTTTCTCATTAATATCTTATTCAGCTTTGTATGTGCCAGTTGCCAAAGCCTAAATGTACATACAAAAACAAAGGAAAACAAATATGATTCAGCAAAGAATGTTTAAAATTATATTTTAGGAAAGTTGCTATTATGTGACTTTTTGGTTCACAAAGTAGAGAGAAATAATATGGATAATATATGTGACTATCAAATTATTTTATATAGACCCAGCTATCTGTTATAAATATTAGATTGCTAAATATCATTTAAGCACTATGTGAGGAAGGGTTTCGAAGGGTATTTATGGAAATCTTTTCTCTGGCTACTTCCCCGCCTCAGGCTTTTTCTTTGAATGCTGTCTGCTTATGTCTAATAAGTCTAGGAAAATGGAGACAGAAACAGAAAGTCATACTCTATGGCAAAAAAAAAAAATACAAAAGGAGGGCTTTATAAAATAGAACAAGGGAAACCAGAAAAACTCAGAGTAGCCTACTGAAGGAATATGCTGTTAGTGGAATAGTCAGATCAAGTTTTAAAAATGCTTCCAGAGCTGGGCATGATAGCTCATGTCTGAAATCCCAAAAACTGAGGAGGCTAAGGCGGGAGGATCGCTAAAGCTTAGGAGTTTGAACTAAACCTGTGCAACATGGCAAACCCTGTCTCTAAAAAAAAGAAAAATAAGAAAAATTAGCCAGGTGTGGTGTGCTCTCCTGTTGTCCCAGCTATGCAGGAGGCTGAGGCAGGAGGTTAAGGTTGTAGTGAGCTGTGATCAGGCCACTGTGCTCCAGCCTGGGTGACAAAATGCGACCCCATCCCCGGGGGTGGGGGGCAAATAGAAGAAAGAAAATAAATAAAGAATTTTGTAAAAGATGATTAGGGCCAGTAAGGTTTAGTTAGTAGTTATAAATGTGACCTCTAGTCTTAAGTTCTAAGGCACCTTAGAAAATAGTGAAATGATGGTGATGCCCATTATTGCCCCCCCCCCTTCAGCTCTCAAGGCTGCTGGCTATCCACTGGTGTGTGAGGAAGTTGTTGTCTTCCTTGTTTTCAGGTTTTACTTGGTCACTTTAGAGTATTAGTTAAAATTTTTTTATCTCTTAAAAATATTGCCTCCAAAGCAAGTGGAATTATTCTTCTGTGGTTATCAGGAAATGATGAAGTTGTATCCTTTGTAATATCTATACCAAATTACCTTTGATGTCCACTGTATAATTATAACAACATAAAATATCTAACTTGTAATCTTATGCTTTGTTATTTTTGCCTCCTGAATATTTTATTAGGTATATGTGGTTGCTATGAATATTAAAAAGGAAGCAGAGTCAAAACCAAAAAGAACAATTAAAAATACTGATGATGATGATGACGACTATGGTACCATAGATGAACTACCACCAGATAGTTTAATAACACTGGTACAACCTGAACTGCCGACACTCAGCCGCCTGTGGCTGGCAGCATTAAAAGATTATGCGCTTTTGACTTTACCAGCTGAATTTGCTAGTCAGCTCCCTCCAGATGGTGAGTATTGCATTCAGAATTTTGCTCTTAGGGAGTTCAAAATAGTAGTTAAACAAAATGGACTTGGTAGAGGCTAGAAACAACAGTAACACTATAATAATATCTTAAATTTCTGTGGACTTAAACGTGGCATTGTCTCATTTGGACCATGTTCTCCATATTGAATTTGTGGATTCAAGATATAACATAAAGCTTTTTTGTTAGCTGAAGCAAACATATTAGCCCTGTTTTATAGTAATAGCTCTACGAGCTAGGGTACTCTAAATAACTATGGATAACAAATCATTATTCACAACAATGAGGAACTATATTACTGTATATTCAGTGTATGTATTTTTATATAAATTCCTTGTCTACAATGAATTGTGTTCGTAAAGTCCTTTGCAGATTGTTTGTATTTTAGTTTTCCTATTGAAATCAATATAGACATTATCTTTAACATTTTTTTTTCCACTTATTTCTGTTTTATTGTTGACTCCAACATAGCAGAATCATTTTTTCTCATTTCCCCTTCTTTCTTTTTCTTTTTTTTTTTTTTAATTATTTTTTTTTATTTTGGTATATTATGGGGGTACAGATTTTAAGGTTTCAATAAATGCCCATTTCCCCCCTTTAACATTTTTTTTTTATATTTAGAAACTGTATTATCAGTTCCTACTCAACCCATTCCTCTTTCCATGTATCAATGGTACCAATAATAGAGTTTCTCCTTTTTTCCTTCCTTAATCTATCATAACAGCAGGGAGAAAGATGAGGAAGTCCTCAGTGTTGGTAGTGGAAATAGGAGGTGAGAAGGAATAGCAGAATAGGAGAAAAACAGAAGGAAGAAAAAAGAAACAGAGTTCCATGGTTATAGTAGAAAGAGAGGGTGATAGGGTTTTAAGAGCCACTGGCAACAGTGAAGAGGTAAATCTTGTGACAATAGGGTGGGAAAAGGTAAGGATACTTAGTGGCATCAGCAGTAGCAGTGGACAGGCTGGAAAACTAGTATCAGTGAGGATGTGACAGGTACCCCAGTTCATCAGCTATAGGAAAGTGGTTATATTTGGTGGCTCTGTAAAGAAGAGAATCTTTTTGGCCTGATTGTTCTTTTGTATGTAATAGGTATTTTTAAGTTAATTGTTCATAAATGAGTGAACACTTGTAATAGAATCTAGTAATGCTGCTTGATTTGATTGCTTTATAGGTGGAGCATTTTATACTCCTGAGACTATTGATACAGCTAGACTTCACTATCGTAATTCCTGGGCCCCAATTCTCCATGCCGTGGCACTTTGGTTAAATAGCACAGGATTTACATGTTCTGAGTCCACAGAAGCAGCAGCAGTATCTGGCTTACAAAAACGTTCTACATCTGTCAATTTAAACCAGGCATCGGGAGCAACGGGTAGTGCTAAGTCTTTGCCAGAAATTAACAAAGACAGAATGCATCTGATTTTAGGTAGGTGTGTTATATTAATGTATTTCAAGATGTATCGCTTCTGAAAATTCTTATCTTTCATTTTAATGCTATGGAAAAGTTTTGTATGATATAGCATTATTCAGAGAAGGAAAAATAAAAGGATTTTCACCTTGCCTTATAAATTGTTAGCTTAATTTATAATCTAAAAATTAAATTATTAAAAACTGCTCCTTAAAAGTTTTAGCTGTCATGTTCACTCACAGAGCAATGACAGGTTTTCCTTTTACTTGTCACTTAACAGATGATCCCACGAAGAAAAAGTTTAAGTGAATTTAAATGAATTCTAATTTATAATTGTTTTATAGGATACTTTTTTTTAGCATTTAAGAATTGATACATTCTTGAAACTCATTTTCAGGTCTCTAAAAGAAAAATAATTAAGTAAAGATATTTTAAAGAAAATGAAAAAAAATTAAAAATAAAAAAGAATTAATACATTCTAATGAAGCTTTTAGGGATCTTATATTTTTTGAGGATGAAAAGGAACACAGATGATAAGGTGTAATTATAGAATTCATCAGTGTATCTCATAAATGAAAATGTGAAAAACTTCCATAACAGTGACCTTACCTTTATACAAATTAAGAGCCACTGTTACCTGTGATATATATTGTGTCTCTATAGCTTGCCATTGAAACCCTTTGATTATGAAAAATTATTTGGCAACCATCTAATGAAAAATAATTTTGTAATGTCCTTTATTCATTTATTTATTTATTTATCTTTTGAGACTGAGTCTCGCTTTGTTGCCCAGGCTAGAGTGAGTGCCATGGCGTCAGCCTGGCTCACAGCAACCTCAAACTCCTGGGCTCAAGCGATCCTCCTGCCTCAGCCTCCTGAGTAGCTGGGACTACAGGCATGTGCCACCATGCCCGGCTAATTTTTTCTATATATATTAGTTGGCCAATTAATTTCTTTCTATTTATAGTAGAGACGGGGTCTTGCTCTTGCTCAGGCTGTTTTCAAACTCCTGACCTCGAGCAATCCACCCGCCTTGGCCTCCCAGAGTGTCAGGATTACAGGCGTAAGCCACTGCGCCCGGCCCATAATTTATTCTTAATGTATTATTTTTAAAAGTCCTAGAAATAAAAAAACAATATCTTCCTAATTAGCCTAATGGCATGGGAATTCCTTTCTCAACCCATAGCTGATTTGAATACTAACCTAATTACAAAGCTACAACCTTATATTGAGTTTGACTGCTTAACTTGGAAACCATTTTGAACCCTACTTTAAAGCATTAATAAATATATGTTAGCCGAATGTGGTGGCTCGCACCATTAATCCCAGCTACTTGAGAGGCTGAGGCAGGAGGATCACTTGAGCCCAGCGACATAGCAAGGCCCCATCTCTAAATAACTGAATGAATGAATGAATGTATGTTAAGATAATCTATTAAAAAAAAGGAGAAAAATAAGGGGAAAATATGGTGTTAAAGCAACATAAAGTGTTTTATATTGAAAAACCCATGTTTTTATTTTGTACGTTTCAGGTGTGAGTATACAGTTTCTTTGTTCCCCTAGACCTGAGGAGCCTATTGAACATGTTACAGCTTGCCTCCAGGCCTTACACACCTTGCTAGATTCTCCTTATGCTCGAATCCATATTGCAGAAGATCAGGTACAGTGTTTTTCTATAATAAATAATTAATTATATGTTTAAAATAATTTTTTCACATAGAAAATAAATATATATTATATTAATTAATATAACAATTAATATAAAATAAGTATTCAAGATTAGGCTGTACTGAATCTTGGATGACGAGACAGAGCTAGACTAGAGATAGTTACTCTACCTTCTTTGACTTCATCATCAGTAGTCAAATAAAACTAAAAATGTAAGGATACCTTCAGTGTCACTTAGTGATTCTACTAATAAAGGGCTAAGGTAACTTATTAGGCTATTAAATAAATGTTTGATAAAGTTTCATCTCTTAATGAAATTTCTTCTGTACCATCTCACATACTCCTCTAAAGTTTAATGAGTTACTTTTTCTAATTTCTGTATATGATATTTAGGGGACTCTATTCATGTTACAGAACCAAGTTACCATGGATCTTTCATTATTTTCTCTCTCTCTCTCTCTTTTTTTTTAAGAGACAGGGTTTCTCTCTGTCACCCAGACAAGAGTGCAGTGGCACAATGATCACTCACTGTAATCTCGAACTCCTGGGCTCAGGCAATCATCCTCCTGCCTCAGCTTCCCAACTAGCTAGGACTATAGGCACGTACCACTAACTGTGCCCGGATAGTTTTTAATTTTTTTTGTAGAGATGGGGTCTTGCTATGTTCTCCAGGCTGGTCTTGAACTCCTGGCTCAAGAAATCCTCCTGCCTCAGCCTACCAAAGTGCTGGTATTACAAACATGAGCCACCATGCCTGGCCTATTTAATTTTTAAATTAGGAATTCTTTTATTTTTATAATAAGAGCCATTTCTTTAGACATCACCACTACCACTTAGTTTTACTTGGGGAAATTTTCCATAAAACACAAACAGATAAAGTTGATATCATTTTATTTCATCAAAATTAGTTTTACACATGGTGCTAACCAACAACAAAAAAAATCATATGCTGTGTGGTTATGAGATTCACTGATTTTTGTATCCCAGCCTTGTAGCGTGAAGCTATGCCTCAGCTAAACCAGAAATCACGTTAGATTTGGTCTGTGAATGAAGGGGGACTGCTATATTTGAACTCAATAAGTTGAGTTTTAGCATAATGTCTCACATAGCTATTTGTTGGATTTAGTAATATTTTGTTTATGTAAACATTGCTTTTCAATGGCAAAAGAGGATGGATTTTTTTTTCTGAATTGAATCCTTTAATTTTAACATTGTCAGAGTACTCTGACTCATATTGTATTCATTCATCCAGCTAGTTTCACTCTGTGCCTGTTCTATCTCAGACATGGTTTGAGGCTGTAGATATCCAGGTTTTACCATACCTGGATTAGGCAATAAGTACAGTGTGATAAGTGCTATGTTACTGTATGTAGGGGTATAATTAGAACAGAGAGGAGGAACCCAACGTTATAAGAAAGCAAAGAATGAATTCTCAGAGTAGACAATGGTTAAATCAAATCTGAAAGAGGAATTTGTGAGGCAGCACAGGAGGGATAGGTTTTCCTCTCAGAAAGAACAGCAAATGCAAAGACTGGGAGGCATGAGAGAGCATGGCAAGTTCATGAGCACTGCAGTCATTTACTGTGGCTCCTGTGAGTAAAGACCAAATTGTGAAGATTTCTTTATGGTTTGCAAAGGAGTTTGAATCCTATCTTGAAAGTGATAGGAAATAGTTAAAAATATTTAAATAGGCTGGGCAAGGTAGTTCACACCTATAATGCCAGCACTTTGGGAGGCTAAGGCAGGAAGATTGCTTGAAGCTAGGAGTTGGAGACCAGCCTGAGCAAAAGCGAGACCCTGTCTCTACAAAAAATAGAAAAATTAGCTAGGCGTAGTGGCACACGCCTATAGTTCCAGCGACTGGGGAGGCTGAGGCAGGAGGATCACTTGAGCCCAGGAGTTTGAGGTTGCAATAAGCTATGATGATGCCACTGCACTCCAGATGGGGCAACACAGCAAGACCTTGTCTCAAAAAAAAAAAACAAAAAAAAACGTTTAGGCCGGGCGTGGTGGCTCACGCCTGTAATCCTAGCACTCTGGGAGGCCAAGGCGGGTGGATTGCTTGAGATCAGGAGTTCGAAACCAGCCTGAGCAAGAGCGAGACCCCCATCTGTACTATAAATAGAAAGAAATTAATTGGCCAACTAAAAATATATAGAAAAATTAGCTGGGCATGGTGGCACATGCCTGTAGTCCCAACTACTCTGGAGGCTGAGGCAGGAGGATTGTCTGAGCCTAGGAGTTTGAGATTGCTGTGAACTAGGCTGATGCCATGGCACTCACTCTAGCCTGGGCAACAAAGTGAGACTCTGTCTCAAAAAAAAACAACAAAGTTTAAATAGAGGAATGATATGGTTAACCTTATATTTCAGAAGGATCACTCTATCAATCTTATAGAGGTTGTTTTGTAAGACATGAGAAGGGAGGCAGGGAGGCCTCAACCTTATAGAGGTTGTTTTGTAAGACATGAGAAGGGAGGCAGGAGGCTATTTTCATAATTCCAGAGAAATAATTAGTGCAGTAACCTAGGAAACTGAATAAAGGAGGAAGAAAAGAGGACCAAGATTGGAACCTTGGGGATAAATAGCATTTAAGGATTGAGAAGAGCAAAATAAATCAGCAGTGGAGACTGCTAGATATGTAGAAGAACCAAAAGAGATCAGAGTTACCAATGAGAAGGGAGGAAAGAGTTTCAAGAAGGGTAGGCAGCAGTGTCAAAAGAAACAGAATCCAATAAATAAGGACAGAAAAAGAGTCTGCAGGAGGTTATGGGTGACCACTACCACCCCCCCAACCCCCCTCCCCCACAGGATTTTTCTAGGTAGAAGCCAGATTGTAGAAGATCAAAGAGTGAATGAGAGGCTAACGGAAATGGAAGTATCTAGGCTAGGAAAGGAAGGAGCAGGACAGATAGAGGACACAGGGGTAGATAAAAGTGTCTCAGAGGCTTTTGGGAGAAATAGGGGAGATATTAGATAGGAAAGACTTTTGAGCATTTTCCTTATACTGAGGAGAGTAGCCTAGCTAGAGAGAGAGGCTGAAGACATATGAGATATGGTTGAGGTCCTTGAAGAATCCCTGGGAAGTCAAATAGGATGGGATAGGGAGCCCATGAAGAAAGATTAACCAGCCTCAGACAAGAGGCTGGAAGCTTGATCTTAAGGGAAGAGGTAAAGATGGCTTTGGTTGTAGTTGAGTGTTTTCCCCTCTTTGAAATTTGACCTAGGCTCATTGACTGGATTTGATGTAGAATATGGTAAGAAGCTTAAAGTAGGTGGTGAAAGTTTATAATAGTTGCTGAGGTGAATAGGAAAGATACTCACTAGAAATCTACAATGTCTAGTACAAAACTCTTGGTGTTCAGTTTAGGTTGCAAATTATGAATTGTAGTGGCACTGGACCCTGGCAATACGGTTTAGCCTGAGTATTTCTTTCCAATAGGAGAATGATCATTATCCAATATAATACTTGATTAAATATGTAAATAATAAAGTCCTTTGTTGCTTGAAAATACATTGGGGTAAAATGTGACCATTTTTCAAGATTGTTATAATTTTCTTATTTGTTACATAGTCCTACATATTAATTTTAACTGCCAGATTTCTATATTTTTGCATGTGTATTTTCTCATTTTAATACAAATTTATCATTTGAAATTAAAATAATTAAATTTATTTGTATTTATTTATAATAGTTGATTGGTGTTGAGTTGCTGAGTGTTTTGCACCGCCTCCTGTTGACCTGGAATCCACCATCTGTCCAGCTGTTGGTTACTGGAGTTGTGCAACAGATAGTAAGGGCTGCTCAGGATTATTTGCAAGAAAAAAGAAACACTCTAAGTAAGCACTAGAACTTATACTAACTCGAAGTAAATTTTATGTGTATCTAATTTTTAAAATATTTATTAAGTTTTTAATAAAAACATTAATCATACTTTTAGAAGATTGAAATTGACTTTATTTTCATTAGCAAAGGCCAGATGAGGCTGGGTGTGGTGGCTCACACCTGTAATCCTAGCACCCTGGGAGGCCAAGGTGGGAGGATCATTTGAGGTCAGGTGTTCGAGACCAGCCTGAGCGAGAGTGAGACCTCGTCTCTACTTAAAATAGAAAAAATTAGACAGGTGTGCTGGTGTGCGCCTGTAGTCCCAGCTCCTCAGGAAGCTAAGGCAGGAGGATCACTTCAGCCCAGGAGTTCGAGATTGCAGTGAGCTAGGTTGATGCCATGGCACTATAACCTGGGCAAAAGAGTGAGACTCTGTCTCAAAAAGAAAAAAAAAAGAAAGACCAAATGAAATTGTTGCTATTTGACTGTTTTTCACCTTCAAAAGTATCAGTTTCATCTGGTTCATCCTAGCATTTGTTTTATTTCTATTATGAAATAGATACCTAATAAAAAAAAACCTAATAAGGATTTTCTATATACTTTTAAGGAGAGGTCAGTGCACAGAATTTTAGGAAGGCAGAGAATTATACTGAGAAAGACATGTGTGACATCAGCTAGACTTGTAAATCCTTTTGAAATAATCTTACATATACTTGTTATATTGTTTTATATACTATTTGTTACTTTTTTGCTGGAGATTTCACCAAATTATCTTTTACCTAAGATGAAGATGACATGGAAAAAGAGTCCTGTACTGTATTAGGAGAAGGAGGTGACAGCGGTGGTCTGATTCCTGGAAAATCGCTTGTGTTTGCGACTATGGAGCTGTTGATGTTCATTTTAGTACGGCACATGCCACATCTCAGTACCAAGATGTCGGACTCTCCAAGTCACATAGCCACTAAAACTCGACTGTCAGAAGAAAGTGCTCGTTTGGTGGCGGCCACGGTTACCATACTCTCTGATTTACCATCCCTGTGTTCACCTGCTGGTATAGTATTGATCAGTATTTGGAAATATGTATTACAGTAGAGAAAGATGAGCTTGCCTTTGATTGTAAGCACTGTTATAACTTATTTCCCTCTTACATCTCAATGTAAAATGAGAAATTGGTCTTTTTTAAGGTTTTATTTACCTTTAGGAGCCTATAAAGATTCAAAAAATTATAAACTTAAGGTGCTCTTTTCAGATATGTTTCAAACAAGAGGTCAAACTACAGATTGGAGAAAAACATTGAATGTCAGCAGATAGACATAAGTTGGAATTACTAAACACTTTATTTTCTGATCTGGTTGCCACTCTTGAGTGACACTGAAAAACATAAATGTCAGAGAAGAGTGACAGCCAACTGTATAGAACACTTCAAGAAATTATGGCTAAAAAAGATAATAGCTGTCTGCAGATACTGAAGAACTATTGGACGTTAATGTAGCCTTTACCTCTGTTTTATCTGGAAACTGAAAATAGTATCAGTAAATATATAGGAAAATTTTCATCTCAACACAAGGAAGACCTTTCCAGCTCTTAGAGTTATCTTATGTATGTGAATTATTGGAGCCTTGCAGATGCTGCAATGGCTGCATGTGAGAGTGATGAAGGGACTCCTTCCTTAAGTGGAAGGTTGAATTTGATGGCCTTAAAGTTCTTTCGGCTCAAAATCCTAGGGTTCTTTCATTTCTTCTGTCTTTACCCCAATAGTTTTTATTTTCCTGGCTTGATTAGGTTGACTTTGGTACACTGAGGGTTGATTACATATCCTAGAATTGCTGTAAGATTCATGGAATTACTTAGATGCTTCTCCAAGTATGTGGTAGAGTTTTCCTTCTGTTTTTCTATCTTTCTTTCTCATTGTCATCATGAAGGGCATGAAATACTAAGTAGGTGAAATATTGGAAGTAATAAAAGCAGGGCTAGTTGGAAAAAAAAGAAAATACCAGTTCTGTCTTCTTTGAAATAACCTGGCACTTTCTTATTTTCATTTTCAAACATTGAATTATAGTAATAGCAATGCAGTACATTTTGTATAAAAACAAGGAAAAGAAAGAATATTAAACTACAATCAATCACAAAAAATATAAGCAGTGGAAACAGCTATAATATGGGAACTGAAATAATTATGAAGTAATCTGATTTGTTTTTATTTCAGGATGTATGACAATCCTGCCCACAATTCTCTTCTTAATTGCAAGAATATTGAAAGACACAGCAATAAAGTCTGCAGATAATCAGGTTCCTCCACCAGTCAGTGCAGCTCTTCAAGGGATTAAAAGTATCGTGACACTTTCAATGGCAAAAACTGAGGAAACTCAAAAACAATGGACAGCTCTAATTCGTAGCACTCTTGCATGCATCCTGGAATATTCTCAACCAGGTAACCTATCAGAGTTTAAGAATTTTTAATCTGTTAGGAAATTTGTTTCCTAGTTAATTCATTAGGTGAATAAGCTTGTCAGAAAACCGCTGCATAATACTGAATCAACTCAGAGAGGTGTTCTGATTGTGAAGGGGTATTAACCTTCAGGTATGAAGTTCAATACCCCTTTCTGGATTGTTGACTCTGAATGCCCTTGTCTTAGTACTTACATACGTATTAGGAGCCTTTCAAAAAAAAAAAAAAAAGACTATATGCCCAGCAGCATTGACATATGTTCATATATTTATGTTTGCTTCAAGTTGTTTTTTACAATTAAAGTAATAAGGTAGGAGAGAAAATTGAAATACCTGTCACTACCCCAACATACTTCCAAATGGAACCACAATGTTGATATTAATATATTTTACTCTCAAAATAGCTATATAAATTGGGATGTTTTCGATATTAACATATATCATTTATGTTAATAAATATATGTTAATATGTATATACATTATAGAGAGTAAGATAACTATGAGCAATATATAGTATTTGTTTGTATTTTAAAATTTATATAAGTAATATTATCTCAGTCTACCTTTATTCTCTCACTCAACAGTAAATTATTTTAGATCCATTAATGTGAATCGTAAAACTCTCATTCATTCTTTTAACTCCTGTACAGTTTTCTGTCATATGTATTTACCAATTATTATTCATTTCTCCATCACTGGATATTTTTAATATTTCTCATTCATAAAATTAATAATAAAATAAAATTATTATCAGATATTGCCAAATTGCCCTCCACCATAGCTATGTGAATTTACACTGCCCTTAGCAGTGTGTGATAATTTCTTTTTCCCCATATCCTCACCAATATTGTCAGACTTTTAGATTTTGCTATATGATAGGTAAAATATACTATCTTAGTGTTTTAATCTGCATGTTTCATTTTCCTAGTGAGTATAAAGCATCTTTCATGTTTGTGTTTAATTTGGGGGAGAAATATTTATATTTTTCCCCATTTTTCTTCTGTCTGACTTCTTATTTCAAGTTTTATTTCTATTGTAAAGAAAATGTAAAAGAATTGAAAACAAGAATAGTAAGGAAAGATTTGTCATTTCGTCTGTTAAAAAATTTCCACACCATCTAAAACTATGGAGTGGGCCCAAGAATCAGTGGATGGGGCAGTCAAAGAGAACAGATTGCTTTGAAACAGACAATTACCAACATGAGACTGTGACACATAATAAAGACACATTCATTATTCTTTAAATGGTTTGTGTCAGTTAGCTGTTTGAGAAATAAATTGCACTTAGGCTCTCCTCTTATATCGTGAATCACAAAAAATACCAGATAAATTAAAATGATGTAAAATTTAAAAAATTGGAAAACAAAATATAGGTGAATCTTTTACGTCAGAATGGCAAAGGGCTAGCTAACTGTAAGTCAGTGAACAATATTGCAGAGAAAAATATTGACGTATTGGTTGACTTATACTTATCCACATTAAACTTCTACTCATCCAAATATTTTACATTAAATGGTAGCTGAAAAAAGAGCTGAAAACTGACAAAAATATTTATGTCAGTGTTGCTACCATGAACATACAAAGAGGTCTTAGAAGAAATTCACTTAACACCCAATAGATGAAAGAAGAAAGATCACAGGTTAGTAAGAAAAAGGATATAAAAATGGCAACCAAGCATATAAAAGAAAATCAGCCACATTAGTAAGTAAAGAAATATAAACAAAAACAGTAATATAAATTTTTACTTACAAAACTGATTTTTTTTTGACTGTGCACGGCTGGAATTGGTACCAGAACATTTTCATACTTTGTTGAAGGTAGTTTATTTTATTTTATTTTATTTATTTTATTTTATTTTATTTTATTTTTTTTTTGAGACAGAGTCTCACTCTGTTGCCTGGGCTAGAGTGCCATGGCGTCAGCCTAACTCACAGCAACCTCAAACTCGTAGGCTCAAGCAATCCTCCTGCCCCACCCTCCCGAGTAGCTGTGACTACAGGCATGTGCCACCATGCCCAGCAAATTAATTTTTTTAATATATATGTTTAGGTGGCTAATTAATTTCTTTCTATTTTTAGTAGAAATGGGGTCTCACTCTTGCTCAGGCTGGTCTCCAACTCCTGACCTTGAGCCATCCACCTGCCTCGGCCTCCCAGAGTGCTAGGATTACAGGCGTGAGCCATCATGCCTGGCCCTTAAAATGGTTTACATTTTCAGGGAATTAATTCTGTAGGATGTACAAAGAACCTTTAAGATTGCATACTCTTTGACCTTACTGATCAAAAAATTATGTTCAGGGTTATTTATTACCTATTACATCTATTTTATAATAATGAAAATATAGGAAAAATATAACTAGCAGGGGAAAAATTATAAAATACATGATAGTTTTTTTTTGGTTTTTTTTTTTGAGACAGAGTCTTTCTTTGTCACTGGGCTAGAGTTCTGTGGTGTCACAGCAACTTCAAACTCCTGGGTTCAAGCAATTCTCCTGCCTCAGCCTCCCAAGTAGCTGGGATTACAGGCATGTGCCACCATGCCAGCTAATTTTTCTGTTTTTAGTAGAGATGGGGTCTTGCTCTTGCTCAGGCTGATCTCCAACTCCTGAGCTCAAGCGATCCTCCCGCCTCAGACTCCCAGAGTGCTATGATCACAGGTGTGAGCCACCACGCCTGACCTACATGATAGCATATTCATTTGGATCATATATCCATTATATCTATTAAATATCATGTTTATAAGCAACTATACAAAGATTAACCCAGACAAGAAAAACTTAAACCAAAACCTAGAAATTAGGCCAGGTGCGGTGGGATTATAGGTGTGAGCTGCTGCACCCAGCCTGGATGTCCAATCTTCTTAAAGTCACAATTAAAAAATAAAATAATTTTCGGACAAAAAATTGCTTGTAATATCACAAACTCTGAATTAGAGATAGTTCTTATTCCACCTATAATAACATTCCTACTGTGGAGTTCTCTGGTTTTTAACATTTATAAGTTAGGTCTTTATAACTTGGTTAAATCCTTCAAATTTTAAATTTCTTTTTTCTCAACTTTTTTTCTTTATGGGTGTTGTTGCTTATGCCTATCATCCTAGCACTTTGGGAGGCCGAGGTAGGAGGACTGCTCAAGGCCAGGAGTTCAAGACTAACCTGAGCAACATAGTGAGACCCCACCTCTACAAAAAAATAGAAAAATTGGTTGGGTATGGTGGCACATGCCTGTAGTCCCAGCTACTTGGGAGGCTGAGGCAGGAGCATTGCTTGAGCCCTGGACTTTGAGGTTGCAGTGAGCTATGATCACACTACTGCACTCTAGCCTACACAACAGAACAAGACTGTTTCAAAAAAAAAAAAAAAAAAAAAGCCGGGCGCTGTGGCTCACGCCTGTAATCCTAGCTCTTGGGAGGCCGAGGCGGGCGGATTGCTCAAAGTCAGGAGTTCGAAACCAGCCTGAGCAAGAGCAAGACCCCGTCTCTACTATAAATAGAAAGAAATTAATTGGCCAACTGATATATATATAAAAAATTAGCCGGGCATGGTGGCGCATGCCTGTAGTCCCAGCTACCCGGGAGGCTGAGGCAGAAGGATCACTCGAGCCCAGGAGTTTGAGGTTGCTGTGAGCTAGGCTGATGCCACGGAGCGAGACTCTGTCTCAAAAAAAAAAAAAAAAAAAAAAAAAAAAAAAAAAAAAAAAAAGTTGCAAGAGTAGTACAGTGAACTCCAGTGTACCGTTCTCCTAGATTTACCGGTTAACATTTTACCACGTAATGGGTTTTTACTCTCTCTATAATCTACATGCCATTATTGTTAATATTATTTTACTAATTTTGTTAAACTATTTAAGGATATGTTGAAGTCATCATGACTCTTTACTCTTGAATACTTCATGACTAGGATATTCCCTTACATAACCACAGAAGAATAATCAAATTTGGGCAATTTAACATTGATACAATGCTATTATTGTTCATATGCAAATTTCACCAGTTGTCCTAATAATGACCTTCATACCGCTCTTTTGTTTTTATTTAGTCATTATATTGCTTTAGTCTCCTTCAATCTGGGGCAGTTCCTCAGTCTTTATCTTTCATGACATTAATGTTTTTGAAGAGTACAGGCTCTCTATTATGTAGCATGTTTCTCAATTTAGAATTGGCTGATTTTTTCCTCAGTAAAACCGATTAGATTCAATTTATGCATTTTTGGCAGGAATACCATATAAGTAATGTGTCTTTTTCAGTACATCATATATGGAGACATATAAGGTTTCTTTGTCCCATTATTGGGAATCTTGACTTTAATAACTTTATTAAGATGACATTTGCCATGTTTCTCCTCTATAAAATTGCCATTTTTTCATTTCATAATTAACAAGTAATCTGTGGGGAGATATTGTAAGACTATCTCAATTGTCTCTTCCCCATCAAACTTTCACTTAGTGGTTTTAGCATCCATTGTGCCTGAATCATTTATAGTTGCAAATGATACTTTTCTAATCTATATTTTTTATTCCTTTTACATTTATTAGCTGGCATTCTACTAAAAGGAAGAGCTTTCTCTTGCCCTCTTTTTATATATACTTATTTATTACTATCAGTACAGATTCATGATTCTTTCTCTAATTCAGTGACTCTACTACTGTTACTTTGATATGTCCTCATTATTTCTTGAGCACTTCCTTACTTTCTGGCACCGAGATGTAGCAGATTCATCTTGTATTTTCCCTGTTTCTGTTCTAGAATCAGTCCATTCTCCAAAAGGTCCTGGGTCTTTTTATTAGACAATTGTATTTGGATATCTAATCTTTTTTTTGGTAGATAGTGTCTCACTGTGTTGCCCAGGATGGTCTCAAACTACTGGCCTCATGCAATTCTCCACCTCAGCCTCCTAAAGTGCTGGGATTATAGGTTTGAGCTGCTGTACTCAGCCTGGATGTCCAATCTTCTTAAAGTCACAATTGAAAAATAAAATAATAATTTTTGGAAAAAAAAATTGCTTGTAATATCACAAACTGAATTAGAGATTGTTCTTATTCCACCTAGAATAACATTCCTAGTGTGAAGTTCTCTGGTTTTTAACATTGATAACTCAGATTTTTATAACTTGGTTAAATCCTTCAAATTTTGAATTTCTTTTTTCTGAACTTTTTTTCCTTTATGTTAAGTTAATGAACTTTTTCTAGACTGTTGTTCTTAGCCAATACTATTTTAGGAAAGCTGGTATTCTCATCATGAGATAATGTTAACGTATCTTATGTGTTCATAATCCTAATAAAGTACTAGTTATTGGGTATTTATAGTTGCCAAGTCAGCCCAAATTTGCACAGAAAGTGTTGATAATTTCAGTTGTTGGAAAAATGGTAATGATAATATTTGTTAGGTTAAAGTTGTACATATTATAATAGCAAGAAATTCCTTAAAATTATAAGAAAGTCTTCAGGAAATTGTGCAAGTTTTTTTTGTGGTTGTGTGGAATTTACAAGTTTTCATATTTACTAAATTGAAAGGTGATATCACTAAGAAAGTCCCTCTGAGTTATTTAATTAATTAGAATATCTTATAATCATTTAACTGTATATATTTGACTTCATACAGTTATTTGTGGATTATATTAGATTGAGGCACACACTGCTATACATGTTGGGGGCAGAGGAGTTGTTTGAGATTGAAATTCCAAAACATTTTAGAAACCACCCATTGCTTTCATTTTTTCTTTTCAGAAGACTCTATGCCTACACCTGATGAAGTAAGCATGCTAACAGCAATTGCACTCTTCCTGTGGTCTGCTAGTAGTGAAATAATTGGAGTCCAGTCATTACAGAATGGCTGCATGAACAGATTTAAAAATGCATTAAATTCATGTGACCCGTGGGTAAGTTACATTTAAAACAATTAAGCATAAACATTCCACGTTACCAAGAAAATTTCAGATTGATTCATTAAAATATGTGATACATGTAATGAAAAGCTAAGTTTTTGCAATATGACTTTTATTTATTTATTTTATTTATTTTTTTTTTTTTGAGACAGAGTCTCACTTTGTTGCCCAGGCTAGAGGGAGTGCCATGGCATCAGCCTAGCTCACAGCAACTTCAAACTCCTGGGCTCAAGCAATCCTACTGCCTCAGCTTCCCAAGTAGCTGGGACTACAGGCATATGCCACCATGCCCGGCTAATTTTTTCTCTATATATTAGTTGGCCAATTAATTTCTTTCTATTTATAGTAGAGACAGGGTCTTGCTCTTGCTCAGGCTGGTTTTGAACTCCTGACCTCGAGCAATCCGCCCACCTCGGCCTCTCAGAGTGCTAGGATTACAGGCGTGAGCCACCGAGCCCGGCCTGCAATATGACTTTTAAATGGAAAAAAACTGGAAAAGATTACTGGGTTTAAGCACTAGGAGAGACACCAAGTGTATGTTTATTCACATATGCAGAAATTGTCCTGTATCTGAAATATTTGATCAACCCCGGGACATATTGGTAGGTACTTTACAGGAGTCCATGATTATATTTTCCAATGTTTATTTAAATAATACCAGGACATTAAAGGATAAGTTTATATTATTACACCTTAATGAACCTATTAGAAACTCTAGATGTTTAGAAAATAAGTTTATTATTTTATGATGTCAAAGTCTAAACTAATGATTCTCAAACCTGCTGCACATCAGGAAAAAAAAAATGCAGTTTGGAAACATTCTTCGCCTGTAATTCTAGCACTCTGGTAGGCCGAGGCGGGCGGATTGCTTGAGGTCAGGAGTTCAAAACCAGCCTGAGCAAGAGCAAGACCCCGTCTCTACTATAAATAGAAAGAAATTAATTGGACAACTAATATATAGAGAAAAAATTAGCCGGGCATGGTGGCGCATGCCTGTAGTCCCAGCTACTTGGGAGGCTGAGGCAGGAGGATTGCTTGAACCTAGTAGATTGAGGTTGCTGTGAGCTAGGCTGACACCACGGCACTCACTCTAACCTGGGCAACAAAGTGAGACGCTGTCTCAAAAAAAAAAAAAGAAACATTCTTGTTCTCTGCCAATATCTTCCTAAATCAGAGTCTCCACATTTGTGGCTCGAGAATTGTGTATTTAAAATGTTCCTCCAAGTATTTTTGATGTCCCATGAGGTTTGGCCACTTGTGCTCTACCAAAGCACTGAAACAGTTTTATTCTGCTTTTTGTCCCATATATTGATGGGTTTTCCCTCCCTCTTTTCTTCCCCCCCTTTTTTTTTGAGTTATTAATGTGAAGTCTTTCTAAGCTAAAGTGGAGTCAGCGAGACTTTATTTTCTAGGCCTAAAAACTTACAATTGATATAAGCAGTCATTTTTAGGGAATCCAATGGGTTTTAGGTGTCTAAGGAATATATTTTTATAGCTTTTTTTCAGATCATTCCGATATTAGCATTCCTTGCTATATACATTAGGTTAAAATGGGAGGGACAATTACACGTTAGAGGAAGAATTAAAAGCAGAAATCGGAATTCCTGTTTTCTAGCTTTTCACACCTGGAAATGTAAAAATTATATAAGTCTGTGTGCAGAAGGCAAAAAAAGAAAAAAGAGGCCGGGCGCAGTGGCTCACGCCTGTAATCCTAGCTCTCTGGGAGGCCGAGGCGGGCGGATTGCTCGAGGTCAGGAGTTCAGAACCAGCCTGAGCAAGAGCGAGACCCTGTCTCTACTATAAATAGAAAGAAATTAATTGGCCAACTAATATATATAGAAAAAATTAGCCGGGCATGGCGGTGCATGCCTGTAGTCCCAGCTACTCAGGAGGCTGAGGCAGGAGGATTGCTTGAGCTCAGGAGTTTGAGGTTGCTGTGAGCTAGGCTGACGCCACGGCATTCACTCTAGCCTAGGCAACAAAGCGAGACTCTGTCTCAAAAAAAAAAAAAAAAAGATAGAAGAAAAAATTAAAGAAAATCAAAATTATATAAGCATGGCAATTTGGTAATTAACATAAGGAACTTTTGTATTAATATCTCTTTAATTTTATTTAGTTACCTTATTGAAAATTCTATTATTCTACTCCATTTCTCTGAGTAGAAATGGCATTTTCATTTCCATCCTGCAGTATCACTGCTTTTTAGTACATATTAAGATTCAATGTGATTGTAGAGCAAATAAGAACTATCATAACATGTTTATTGATAAAATGATCTTTTTATATAGGTTCAAGCCAAATGTTACCAGCTTCTCCTCTCAGTCTTCCAACATTCCAATCGTGCCCTTTCAACTCCTTATATCCATTCATTAGCTCCAATAGTGGTTGAAAAGCTAAAAGCTGTTGAAAGAAATAGACCAGCCAATAACACAGAACTTTTAGCTGTTCAAGAAGGAATCAAAGTCCTTGAAACATTGGTTGCTCTTGGTGAAGAACAAAACAGTAAGTATATTCCTATAAAAAGCCAATGTTCTAAAGTAAAGATCTATATTATATCTAAATCTTATTTGATATTAGACACAGACCTTTGCAACAATAAGTTTACTAAGGAGCAGTTACTATCTAAAAGCATAATGTATTTGCTCATGTTACTAACATAATTTTTTTTTTTTTGAGATGGGGTCTTACTTTGTCACCCAGGCTAGAGTACAGTGGGTTCATCCAAGCTCATTGCAACCTCAAACTCCTGGACTCAAGTGATCCTCCTGCCTCAGCCTCCTGAGAAGCTGGGACTATAGGCACATACCAACCACGCTTAGCTGATTTTTCTGTATTTTGACAAAGTCTTGCTCTTGCTCAGGCTGGTGTTTAACTCCTGACCTCTAGTGATCCTCTTGCCTTGACCTCCCAAAGTGCTAGGATTATAGGTTTGAGCCACCATGCCAGGCCAACATAATGTTTTGAGTTGATTTATATTTATTTTTTATGAATAGAAAGCTAAAATGAACTTCTGGTGGCATTTAAACACACCTGATTTTTTAAAATTTTTCTAGTTATATATATAGTCTTTAAGAACTAGGAAAAATATAGATGTTTAATAGGTTTTTATAATAATACATCTTAGTCTTTATAATAGAGGTATAAAAGCTTTATAATAGGCCAGGTGTGGCAGCAACCATGAGCAACATAGCACAACCTTGTCTCTACAAAAAAATTTTAAAAAATTAGCCAGGCTTGGTGGTGGGCACCTGTAGTCCCAGCCACTTGGGAGGCTGAAGCAGGAAGATCACTTGAGCCCAGAAATTTGAGGTGGCAATGAGCTACAATTGTGCCACTGTATTCCAGCCTAGGCAAGAGAATGAGACTCTGTCTCTTAAAAACAAAAATGACTTTTAATTGTTCTAGAAAGACTGTATTTTTTAAACTCTTATGGTTGAACATTTTCAAAATCATAAATGAGATAAACATTCTTATACAGATTATCTTTGCATGTATTTTTATTATTTCTATCAGATAAATTCCAAAAAGTAAAAATAGTGGGGTGAACGGAATGCACATTTTAAGACGTTTAATATGTATTACCAGATTGCACTCCATATAAAAATAATGCCAGTTTTTTTCTATCATAAATTTTTTCCTTTTTCTCTTAAAAAAGATTTCATAGGAAATTGGGGAAAGGTGGTAAGAGATTTTTGAAAAGCTATTGCAAGAGCTCCCCTATAAAATAATAATCCAGAACTGTGATAGTAGAAGAGAAAAATGTGGCAGTGGTGAATTTGAAAGAAAAACTGATCTGATTTGATGATTAACTGGTTATAGGGAGCATGAAAAAGAGAAGAGGCAAATATTACTGTATTGCATGTAAGCAATATCAAAACTGGGGAAGTCAGAAAGAAAGAGCTGTTTCAGAGAAGAAAATTTAGTTGAAATTAGTAATTTTTTTATAAAAAATTTTATTTTTTAAAATTTATACATTTTTTAATTTTATTTCTTTTTTTCCTACCTAGCATTTCTTAGAAGACACAAGTAATATGTTAATATGTAGGTTATTTGGGTAGAAATTTTGTGATAGACATCATGGCCTATGACAAATCAACATAATTTTATTTGTATATTTATTTTACTAACTCTAAACTCCATAAAGACCAGGACTAAATCTTACTTTGTAATCCCAGCACTGAACTTACTGTCCTTTAGTATTTAAAATATTTTTGTGTTCAGTTGATTCTTCAGATGGATTCCTGAACAGGGACCACAATTTGGAATTAAACTTAGCATGAGAACAGGTAGGGAAAGGAATCTTATACTTAAAAAAAGTAATATTTCTGTATTGTTTGATTTTTTTGACAGTAAGAATATATGTATTATTTGTACAATTAAATATAGTTTAATAGCTAATTAGTTTCCAGCAATGCCCCTGAAATAAATGACCCTTTCCCAATTTAAAGTATGAAATGACCAAAGTGCTGTAATTTCAACTCTCAACCAGACCAAGGTGCAGTATTATTAGTGAGGTACATCAACAATAAGCATCATCATGGTTTCTTCTTTTTTTAATGGATTGCTTCACTCAGATAACAGATCTTTTATACTAGAGCAAGACTTTTAAGAGGTAGAATAAGCAGTTGGCCGGCCCATTTTGAAAATTAAAACTAAATCTAAGGCTAAATGCCATGGAAAAACCAAAGTTAAACAGTCCTATTAATGAAATAAGATAGTATTCATTAGGAGAATACCATCAAATAAATAAATGAATGAATATATATCATATGAATTTGATAGCAACATTTTTATGCTTACTTTATATTTTATATAGTTACATGATTCCAAAAGGGTAAATTTTCAGCTTTTGAATTTGTTTTCTTCGTTCAACTTTTTTCATGTCATTTGCAAATGTTAATTTTGTTTTCAGCTTTACAGTATCCATTATACACAATGGACAGTGGGTATTTTCTCACCATAAATTACCAGGTTACAATCTAAAAACATTAGAATTACTTGTTCTTTTACTTGTTCAATTACTTGACTACTTGTTCATCATTCTTTATTCAATCTATTACTCAAATTTTGTTCTATCTCTTTTTTTTTTTTTTTTTTGAGACAGAGTCTCACTTTGTTGTCCAGGCTAGAGTGAGTGCCGTGGCGTCAGCCTAGCTCACAGCAACCTCAGTCTCCTGGCTCAAGCAATCCTTCTGCCTCAGCCTCCCAAGTAGCTGGGACTACAGGCATGTGCCACCATGCCCGGCTAATTTTTTCTATATATATTAGTTGGCCAATTAATTTCTTTCTATTTATAGTAGAGACGGGGTCTCGCTCTTGCTCAGGCTGGTTTCGAACTCCTGACCTTGAGCAATCCGCCCGCCTCGGCCTCCCAGAGAGCTAGGATTTCAGGCGTGAGCCACCGCGCCCGGCCTGTTCTATCTCTTTTTTAAAAATTATTTTTTGTAGAGACAGTCTCACTATGTTGCCCAGGATGGTCTCAGACTCCTGATCTCAAGTGATCCTCTTGCCTCAGCCTTCCAAAGTGCTGGGATGACGGATGTGACTGAGTCACTGCACCTGGCCACTTTTTGAAACTTCTTTCAGATTCAAGAGAAACTTGCTTCCTATTTTTATATCTAATCACCCCGTAAATAGATAACTATAATAGTTTCTTAGCTGATATTTCCCATCAAATATACCTAAAGCAATTTTATCTCTCCCTTGCTTAAGAATTTTGAAGAATTTCTTCTTGCTTTACAGCATCAAATCTAAACATTTTTGTGTGGTTTTCAAAACATTTATTCTGTTCCCCAATCTAACACTAACCTGACTTGACCAGTTTCCTTACTCTGCTCATTTTAATTTCCTTTACTTGTTCATAGTATACATTGTTCACACTATTTCACTTTCCTCAGATGTTTTTCTTTTCTTATACAAATTTATTAAAGCTACATCAGACTTTATTTCTTTAAGAAATGTTGCCCAATTTCTCAGTCCTCTCTGATCTTCCCTTTCATAGAATTTCTATGGTAATTATAACTAACCATATTTTATGGCCTTGTGATTTAAAAGTAATCACTAAAACTATAAAATCCCAGAATATTCCTCACCTTTTTGAGTCTCTTGTTGAACTCTGTACTCAAATGCAAACTAGGGTTTTAGCAATTAGTTCTCTAACTGTTCTATGTGATGTCTACTGTTTTCTACTAAGTAATAAAAACATTGGATAGAAACAAATTATATAACATTTCCTACAGTGCTTAGCACATTTCTAGATACTTGGTGAATAGTTAACATGTTAACTGCCATGTAAATTGTATTTAACTCACATTAGTTTTGAGCCCAGGAGTTCCTGAAGGAAACCCTGCAGTTGGTTTGTCAAAATCTTACTTGTGGATATTCTTACTGTTTCAATTAATATTAACAATTTAATTCTAAAAACATGGATTGCATTGCATATAACTCATGCACAGAAAACAATAAAAAATAACAAAAAGGATCATTTTGCTTTAATAAAACACTGGCACCAAGGAAAATGGTTTTTTCTAGTGTGGCAGTCGATGTGTTTAATAACTTATAATATTCTTTTTCCAGTTAATTGTATTTTAAAACTCTTAAAACCAAATTTTTACCTGCTATTGGAAAACTCTTCTGCTTTAATTAGCCAATATGCTGAAGCTAATTTTAAATTTATTTGCCAATTCTCTATTTTTATTATAAAAGTTAGTTCTTATTATATAATACTATTATCATTCTACGTGACATAAATTGAGCTAAATTAAGTAGGTTGGAGAATTCTCCTGGAACTTTTAAAATATCCGCCTATTACCTTCTCTTTTCCTGAAAATTTAATATGAAAAAAAATCCAATTACTCGAAAACTTCTGGGTGGTTTCAGGGTGGCGGGGGGTGGGGGGAGAGTGTGTGTGTGTGTGTTTTCATTCAAAAAATAGTTATTCAGTACCTACTATGTACCAGGTAGTGTTCTAGGCATTGAAGATTCAGCATGAAATAAAACACACAAAGGTCCCTGCTCTCATAGAGCTTACATTCTGGTAGGAAAACACTGACAATAAATAATCCCCCCCATAGATATACCTATCTGTTTTATTAGAAGGATAGACACATGTAGACATATCTATGTACAGTTTTATATAATGATGAAAATGGACATAACTATACCTATTTTAGATGTAGATATAATAGTGAGATGCAGAAATTGATAGGTGGTATGGAGAAAAAAATACAGCAGGGAAAGAGGATGGGAAGTAAGGTCTGGGGTGGAATTGGGGTTCTGGAAAGGCCTTGCGATTATTCTCTGTTCTTGGTGACATCAGTGTTATGTCCCACATTGGGATTCTGGAAAGGCCTTGCGATTATTGTTGGTCCTTGGTGACATCAGTGTTATGTCCCACATTCTGTATCAACTGCTTCCTGCTCCTTTACAGCCTTGGCTTTAGTCCTGTCAGTTGTCATTCTACAAAAATTAACCTAAACTAAGGTGGAAAAGCATTATTTTCAATGTGATTTTAAGAGGTTTTATACATACATGATTACATATAAAGGTTGTTTAGAAAAATACCACCTTTAATGAAATTTATATGCCAGGATGGAGTTGTTAATATGGAAAGACAGACTAGCAAAAGAAGAGTAAGCCTCCAAATAAATATTTTTTAAGGGCTTGAAATTTATACCAGCCAGACATGAGTTCTTGTTTTTTAAGCCTAATGTTTATGTAATTCCATTATTTTTGAAGGTTTTTCCCTGATTATGGGTTTTGGAGGATGATGAAATGTGACAAGAGTTGTGTTGTATTTCTATCTTAAAAAGGAAGAAATACCTCGTTTTAGTTAAATAATGGTAAATGTATGCTGTTCAGGTTTCTGGTGCCTACTCCAGTCTCCTGATTCTAGCATGTCCTTAAAAATGTCATAATCTTCCTCTCAAAATACATTCATTGTACTAGATAGCAATTGTAAAACATTGTATTCTTTTCTAAACTTCTAGCTAATTTTTAATGAACCAATTAATATAAATGTAAAATATATAATCTTAACAAACCTGTTTTCCAACTCTAACATAGCTTGGGCATTTAGTAGGTATTTAATATTAATTATGAGTTATCGTTGAATTCTAAAATAGATTCTGCATGTTTACTTATATTTTCTTATAATTCAGCCTTCTGTGGTAATTGCCTAATTTTTAAATTAAAGTTTATTGTAATTTTTAAGTTTGTGATCCTTCTTCATATTTTATCTTTGTTATTTGCAGGAGTCCAGTTACTTGCTCTCTTAGTTCCCACTTTGATCTCTTACCTGCTGGATGAAAATTCTTTTGCCTCAGCAAGTTCAGCTTCCAAAGATCTTCATGAGTTTGCACTCCAGAATTTAATGCATATTGGACCTTTATACCCACATGCTTTCAAGACAGTAATGGGGGCTGCTCCTGAGTTGAAAATACGCCTAGAAACTGCTGTTCGAGCAAGCCAAGCTAGCAAAGCTAAGGCAGCTGCCAGGCAGCCAGCTCCTACCATACATTCTGCACCAACAATTAAGCTAAAAACAAGTTTCTTTTAATTTTTTTCTTCCATTCATTTTTATTTATGTTGTCAGCCAACTCCTAATTAGTGAAAGCCACTATATCATTCCAGGCTATGGATTTTGTTTTATTTGTATATTGGTGTTAGAGTGCTTCTAAGTAGTTTAAGTGAAATAATGTTCATACCACTTATTGATTTTAAAAGAGTGATTTTTTTTTTATCATGTCATGAATTTGTTTTTATTTTTCCCCTAATAATGTTTCTCTTTTATTAATTAATTTATTTTTTAAACACTGAGCCATATAGTCTTTTAAATTTAAATGCTAAAAACATAATTATATCATGTAGTCAGGCAGCCAATTGATATTGTCAGGGAAAAAAAGAGGTCAGAATTCAGCATCTGTCATGAAAAAATTCAATTGAAAAACAAGCAGATTTTAAATTTTGAAGTAACCAAAATAATGGAAAGTATGTGTTTTGTGGTGTATATACTATGAATAAAATCACAACATTTTCTAAGCATTTCCCAAAATGTTCTTATCTTTCTGACAGATCTTTTAACTTTCATATTGAATTACTAAATTATGCTTGTGTGTAATTTAGTTGTTAACTGAATTAGAATTCTCATTTAAAGGTCCATTAAAATGTTTCAAATGTGGTATAATGTTCTGCTTTTTTTTTTAATGGCTAATATTTGGCCTCAGTTATGTTTTGTAATTACAGAGCCTCAAGTTCTGGCTATGATGGTTAATTTCATTCATCAAATATTTATTGAATGCCTACTGTGTATAAGGCATCAAGCTAAGTGCTGTAGGGCAGACAGATGTGAATTAGTCATAATTTTAGTTATGCCAGTTTCTCATGCAGTAGGAATTTTACCACATGAAATAGATAATTCACAAAATGAATGTTTGCTACAGTGTTTGGCAAACATTTTAGACACCAACTTTTACCAGACAATGTAACATAGATTATATCATCAAAAGCAAGTCACTTTTGAATGTTTGAAAATGAACATTACAAAATATGTTAACTATTAATGGTATTTGTTACCTGTTACCTGCTATTTATTCTTTTTATACCCACACCAATGAGCAGCTCACATATCCTTGTTTTTCTTCCTTACTCAGTCTTTTAGATCTTAAGTGGGCACTTTCTATCACTTGTTTTCTCACTGATTTTTGTTTTTTTCATTTCAGGTGTGTGTTCCCAAAGTTATTCTCATTGTTTTTTGTTTTTATTTTTATTTTTGGTAACAACTTTATTGAGATCTAATTCACATACCAAACAATTTACCCATTTAAAGTATACAATTCAGGCTGGGCGTGGTGGTTCACGCCTATAATCCTAGCACTCTGGGAGGCCAATGCGGTGGATTGCTCAAGGTCAGGAGTTCGAAATCAGCCTGAGCAAGAGTGAGACCCCATCTCTACTATAAATAGAAAGAAATTAATTGGCCAACTAATATATATATAGAAAAAATTAGCCAGGTATAGTGGCGCATGCCTGTAGTCCTAGCTACTCAGGAGGCTGAGGCAGCAGGATCACTTGAGCCCAGGAGTTTGAGGTTGCTGTGAGCTAGGCTGATGCCACAGCACTCCTTCTAGCCTGGGCAACAAAGTGAGACTCTGTCTCAAAAAAAAAAAAATTAAAAATTAAAGTGTACAATTCAGTGGTTTTTAGTATATTCAGAGTGTTGCAACCGTCACCACAATTTAAAACATTTTCATCAACCCGAAAAGAAATCCCATGCCCTTTAGCTGTCATCCCACTACCTCCCTGTTTGCCCCCAGACTTAGGCTACCACTAATCTACTTTCTGTCTCTATGGATTTTCTATCATGGACATTTCATATAAATGGAATCCAACAGTAAGTGGTTTTTTGTGACTGTCTTCTTGACTTAATGTAATGTCTTTAAGTTTCATTCACATTGTAGCATGAATCAGCACTTCATTTTTTTTTTTTTTTGAGACAGAGTCTCACTGTATTTATTGCCTAGGTTAGCGTGCTGTGGCATCAGCCTAGCCTACAGCAACCTCGAATTCCTGGGCTAAAGCGATCCTCCTGCCTCAGCCTCTCAAGTAGCTGGGAATACAGGCATGCACCACCATGCCCAGCTAACTTTTTCTGTATGTTTTTAGTTGGCCAATTAATTTCTATTTTTCAGTAGAGACGAGGTCTTGCTCAAGCTGGTTTCGAACTCCTGACCTTGAGCGATGATCCACCCGCCTCAGCCTCCCAGAGTGCTAGGATTACAGGCATGAGCCACCACGCCCAGCCTCAGCACTTCATTTTTATGGCTGAATACTATTCCATTGTGTGTGTATCACATTTTTTTATCCATTTGTCACTTGAAGGACACTTGGGTTGTTTCCACACTTTGCCTGTTAGAAATAATGATGCTGTGAATATAAATGAACATGTTTTATATATCATCTCCTATGTATATACCTAGGCGTAAAATTTGCTAGCTCAAATAGTAATTCTGTTTAACTTTTTAAGGAACTGCCAGACTGTCTTCTAATCTTATTTTTTGCACACATGCATGGACACACATAACCTCTTTCCACTCATCTATTTATAAAGTATGTTTATTTCTGCTTTGGCTATTTTTTGCTGTTCTTGGTACCTCCAAGGCTTTTCCCATCATTTCCCCTTCTAACCCACTTCCTATTTCTAGTTTTCTATGATCAATATTTATAAAAGATCTGTTTGAAGATTAGTATTAATTTGTTTCACAGCCCAACCTATGAAACTTTTCTCAACCTGAATAATTATATTTGATTGTGAACATCCAGTATCATGAAGCTAAAAGCAGAAGCATCATAGCTAACAGATTCTTTCTGAATCATAATCTGAGCAGTTTTCATAGTTTGCTTTCTACGTTCTCATTAGTTAATATTATACATTTGAATTCTCAATTAGAGAAAACTAAGTTCTGAAGTTAGATGTCCCTCTTCTATATAGGTTCTGTCATCAATGGACATTTCATATAAATGGAATAGGGGTAGAACTTTGGACAACCTAACCCTTTGGGGCTTCAGTTTTCTCATCTATAAAATGAGAGGAAAATTTAGTGGGTGTTCTCTCTATGATCTTGTACACATCTAAAATGTACATATGTCTATGTATTTCTCTTGCTCGCTTCTTTTTTCTTTCTTTTTTTTTTTTTTAGGAAAGAGCTCTTGCTATGTTGTCCAGGCTGGTCTCAAACTCCTGGCCTCAAGTGATCCTCCCACCTGGACCTTCCAAAGTGCTGGGATTACAGGTGTGAGCCACTATGCTCTGCCTATTCTTCTTGTTTTTATCAAGAGAGTGAATCTTTGGCCATCCTTTTATATTGGTGTATAGTACTATTTAGTCTGATAAGTAGTCCTTACATGTGTGCAGAATTGCTACCACAGTGTGACAGAGTAAAATACACTAAACATATAACCCAGACACAGACATTAAAATATTATGATTGTTACTATCAACAAGAGCTTACATTTCTGTTGTGTGCCAGGCACTGTACAAGACACTTTATACCTGTAATTTTTTTCATTCAAACAATGCTGAATGATGGACATAATTAGTCCAATTTTCAAAACTTTTGTTTTATATTCCTCACATTGTCTTTATTCTTAGAATGTTTAGGTTAATGCCAGAAATGGCTAGAGTAGAGCTGTAAATAAATTTCTTACCTTAAATGCTTTCCATCAGATGGATTATTGTAAAACCTGTTTTAATCATTACAAGCCTATTTCTGATTCTCTCATATCTAAAAGCTTATGACATTATTTATGGACTTCATAGAATTTTACTTTAATAAGAATTTCAAAAAAAAATAAAAAATAAAAGAATCTTACGTCTTAATCAAGTTTTTTAGAAAAATTATACTGAGCTAAGTTTTTAGTGCTGCCACTAAACTAATATGTGAAAATCATGCATGTGCAAGTGGCTAGTTACAGCTATTCTTTTTCTTCAGGGGAATTTGTTCATGGCTTTTGTCTTCTATTCACAATTCCCCGTCTCTTTTTATCATTGGAACTCGTGGATTTCCATTTCATGCATTGTTTTTCTCATACACGTATACTTCTCTTTACCCTTTCTCCCCTCTACTTTCAATTCAGCTCAAAGAATCCATGGAAATTTAAGTTGGCTTATTTGGCTTTTCCAACTTTTATAACTTCAATTATTTACTCTTTCTTTAAATACTCTTTCTAAAACTCTTCCTTTCCAACTTATTTCTAGTTATATAGGACAAATGGCTCATGTTTCATTTGTGAAACAAAAAAGGGCTTTAATCATGTCTGAGTACAAAAGTAGAGTCAAAGAGGAAAAGGAACATCAATTTTACATCTTTTAATCAATTTTAATTATAAAATTGCATTCATTAAAATTTGGGGGAAATCACCACAACCCACGACATAGACGAAATTAATGTTAATATTTTAGTCCATTTTCTTCTACATTTGTAATCATCCTACATGGAGGATGTTACATCCTGCTTTCCCCCATTTATCTTATAAGTATTTTCCCATAGTATTACTCTAATAATAAAGTGGAATGGATTTAGTAACTATCATTTTTTGATGGCTACTTAACAATGAATATACTATTATTGACTTAGTCATTACCCTTTATTTGTGTACTTTATTCCAGTTTTTATATTTTTATAAATTTGCATTTGACATTTAAAAAATAAAACTTGAAGCATATCTCCTTTGGATAGATTTTCTAAAGGGGTTATAAAAATATGACAGGTTTGAATTTTGATACAGAATGCTGAATCTTAAAAAGCGATACGTTTTGGAGTAAACAGATGTGAAAATGAAACTGGGTCACTGTTTTCCAAATTCCAAGAAAATGCTTGTCAATGCCTTTAAGTGTCCACAAAAAATTTTGATATACCTAAATATATTTTTAAATGACAGTTGACTGTAAAACATTAAGAAGCTAGGAGAAGAGTTTAATGGAGTTTGGGCTGGGTTTTTTTGGTTTTGGTCTTTTTAATTAAGTTTTCCTATATATATTTTTTCTATTTCTGTCCCTTCTACAAGAGTTTGGGCTGTTTTTAGTGAAAATACTTTTGTTAAAACAGGAAAGTGATAGTCCTGCTCTACACACTGTGACTCTGGTGTGTGTGTGTTTGTGGGAGTGGGTGGAGGATCATCTTCAGATGCAAACATGGCAAGGGCAATAGCAAACTGGTGTGCGTGTAAGCCAGGTGACTTAAAGGAACTGAAGGTAGAAAAGGGTAACATGATTATTAATCTTCAGGTGGGAGGGCAAGCTAGACTTTCCAAGCCAACAGGTTGATATTTCAAATAAGTGGTTTGCAATTGAACATAAAGAGTTTTCTAAGAAAGCTGTTTAAAAAAAGATTGCCTTATGATAGTGTATTCCTTGACACTGGACATGTATAAGGAAAATTTGAATTCCTGTTTGTCAGAGGTTTTTGTGGTATGATTCCCTCATTTATTCATTGGACAATTATTTATGGAGCACTTACTATATGCCAGGCATTCAGAATACAAGAGTCAAAGAATCTGCCATGATAAACTTGCATTCTGCTTGAAAACAGAGACAATAAAATAATCATAGATTGTGATAAATGGTGGGAAGGAATGGTATGAAGCAGGATATGATAGAGAATAATAGGTAGGGATTCCTTCT